TGTTAAAAATGTGTTTGTCTGTGTGTGTTCAGGTTTATATATCCTGGTGGGGACTTAAACCTGACTGCACACAGACTCATGGGGACTCGTGTCACGGTGGGGACCTAAATTGTGGTCCCCACGGGTACAAAAGCTTATAAATCATACATAATTAAGTTTTTTGAAAATCTAAAAATGCAGAAAGTTTCCTGTGAGGGGTAGGTTTAGGGGTAGGGTTGGTGTAGGGCAATAGAATATACGGTCTGTACAGTAGAAAAACCATTACGCCTATGGAGAGTCCCCACAAGGATAGCTGACCAGACATGTGTGTGTGTGTGTGTGTGTGAGTGTGTGTGTGTGTGTGTGTGTGTGTGTGTTTGACCTCTTTGAGTGGATCTCGTCATGTGAGTCTCACTGTCCTCTGCTGGTCACTGTGTGTCATTACACTCAAGATGATGTTGCATTACAGTTTATTTCAGCTGCTTACACACATTTTCAAAACTTCACACACAAATCCAAGAACTGCACACAAAATGCAAAAAGCCTCTCATCTCGTGCAAAACGAAGCACTGCATTCAAAATATCTCAAACACGTCTCAAAAGCAAACATTTGCAAACACCTTTGGCATAATATTAATTCCTGTTAGATGTGTGTGTGTTACATCGAGAACTGTGTGTTGTGTTTTGCAAAAAGTGTTTTCTGAAAGTCAAAGTCTGAGAATCAGTGTCTGGTTTTGTAGGTTTGGTGTGTGCTTCTGCTGTTTGAGTGTCAGCTTTCAGAAACTGTGTGACACGTGAAGATGCAGTGTGGAAGCAGATGAAAACAACTGTAATACAAGAAGAGCTTATGTGCATTCAGAAGAACACTCGTAAAATTTGTATTTGTGTTTGTTTGACTCATTTCTTAGACTAAATAAATCACTTGCATGCTAAAGAATAACTGAGTGTTAGTATGCTGTGTAATGTGATTCCTGGCTCTAATCGTGTGTGTTTTTGTGTTTAACGCAGGTGTTCTGAGGGGTGATGCCCCGCTCTACCAGATCATCAGTGTGTTAGACGTCAGAGACAGACGCGTGTTTGTGTGTGTGTGTGTGTGAGTGTGTGTGCGTGTGTGTGTGTGTGTGTGTGTGTGTGTGTGTGTGTGTGTGTGTGTGTGTGTGTGTGTGTGTGTGTGTGTGTGTGTGTGTGTGAGTGTGTGTGTGTGTGTGTGTGTCTGTGTGTGTGTGTGTCAGCATGGCTCTGACCAACAAACACAAAGTCAAGAGACAACGACTCGACAGAATCTGTGAAGGTCAGACTCTTTTATTCTGCTCATGATCTCAATCTGCTTCATTTTCAGGCCCAGACTGAATCTTTTCACATGGTTTTAGGGAAAATGCGGAATTCTGTGGAATGGATTTAAACACTGCACTGCAACTTATGCACACTTGATTATTTATTTAATATATTTATTTTATTTATTTAATTATTTTTAGAAGGGTTGTGCAAAATTCAGAATTTAGGAATAGGCTCTCTTTAAATGTATGAATGTGAATTTGAATTGAGTCAATCACAACACGCAGGAACTTGAATTGGAATCAGCGTTATTTTAGCACTATTTATACACTATTGATTAATATTTTGAAATAGATTTTATTTTTGTATTTTGTTTTCATATTGTTTTTAGATAAAATGTTCTTTCTTCATTTTAATATGTGCATGAAATAGGAGCTCCCCATAAAGTGTCTCTAAGAAAAACATCATTTTTTATTATTTCTTTAAATATTCCTATTGAGGTTGAATTTATTTAATAACCTAAACTTATTTCAGTTTGTTGCCTAGGCAACACATTTTTTTAGTTGAAGTTTTTCATCTAATATTTGTATTTAACTGTATTTTATGTCACATTTATTTTAGTTAATAAACATGCTTTAATAGTTTTCATTTTAGTTAACAGTAAAAGGAAATCGATCTCCCACAATCCACTGCAAACTCACATTCATTTCTGTTTCCGTTCTGATATGAAATCTGTTCCTGATGGATAACATCGAGTCGCTGTAGTCAGTGCATGACATGAAACATGGCACGTCGTTTAGCAAATCGGCACAAACAGAAATGAGCTCATGAGCATCAAAATGATAACAGATCCTTCTATTATCTATTGAAACCCACAATAATATTTAAAATATTAGCAAGCAAATCATCATTTATTGGGTACTTTCAATTGGGAGGTGGCTGTCCCGAACCCTAACTTATGAAAATGATATTAAAATTAAGAACTTTTTTCAAAGTTATTCCATAAAATTTAGTTTTTGCATCATATTTTTGTATGTGGTAGTATGCGAGTGAAAATTCTGCAATGTGATGCGGTTGCTAAAAGATTACTGTCACTATCGAAGCATGGGATGTTTTGTCAAAAATAAAGTATACTGAAAAAAATTATATTTTTGTAATAAAATAGCAACTAAATATATTTACAATCTAGATGCAAGCAAAATCTTAATAGGTCAATATAACCCTTCTAATTAAATTATTATTACTGTGTTTCGCTAGTGACAAATTTGGGGAGAAGACAAATATTCCAAAACTTTCTGAAAATACAATATAAGAATTAACTGCACAATTATAGAATTATTAGAAATGTGTACCTTGGTTATTATACAATCTGCATACATACAAATGTTTTGGAAAAAGACACATTTGTTTCAAGATGTTTCTGAATGGCCCATATACTCTGCAGGAGCCGTTCAGAATATGCAACACAATCTGTTACATTTTATTAAGTTCCACAAAAGTTTCATTGGCCAATAGCTTTGTGGCAGGTGTTTGGATGATGTAGGTGGTTGCTAAGGTGCTCTCAGTGGTTGCTAGGTACCACGGGTAACAAACTGAGGTTTAAAAACGTTGGGAACATTGTTTGAAAATGTTTCTAAAAGGTTCAAATGTCCAGTTTTCTTGATGTGATTCTAACATTAAAGATTACAAAAACGTTTTTACAACATTCTACTGACTTTATTTCATCCAAAATATAATCATGAGAACATTAAAACATCCCTGCTTCTTGTCATGATTATAACGTTATTTAAAGGTTACAAAAAAACAGTTCTTAGAATGTTCAAGTACAAATAACATCATTCCGAATTTTGATCCAAGAATATTTTCTCTCAACAGTATAAAAACATATATATATATATATAATATGAATACATTTACTGTATAAGAAAGTTTCATAAACTTTATTTTAAGAATATTTTGTGCTAACACTTATATAACTTTCAAAAAACATTAGCTGGGTGGTTGTTTACTGGTCCACATTAAAAGAGGCCGAACACATTCTCATGGCAATTTGCAACTATTTAAAATTGTATTGACTAATTTGCATGAATTCGTATTTTTCATTCCATCTGCTCATGCTTCACTGATTAGTTTTAGGGGTGGACCTTCCTTCACGCGTATTTGTTTTCTAAAAATGTTCTTCTGTTTTCTAAAAGAAAGTGTCTGTAAGAATCGCATTGAACAAATTCATACAAAATTGTCACGTCATAAAATAGTTAAATTTTCTCATGAGATCAGGTTGGGTTTTCTTAGCTTGCTCTAAAGTAACATAAGGAGTTCTGATCTCTAGATATTTCCCTCTTAAGGATTTCTAGTTTGTTGTCCATCATGCCATTGCTAAGTAAATGCTGTTAACAATGAGGAATTCTGATTCTAAGAATAAAAAGATTTAATATCATCATGTACATGTTATTGTTAAATCTATCTGTATAATGTTTGTATGAAATTCTTCTTTTGCAGAAAAGTCCTGTGGTAATGTGATAATACCGTTCCACCCTGTAAGCACTGCTGGGTTTATTTGAAGGTTTTGCCTTAAGGATCGGCTCTATTTTTAGGGAGCTGCTGTCAGATATATTTATGTTTGTTGGGCCGTTCTTGCAGATATTTCCAGACTCTGGTAGGATTGTGAACTATTTATCATGACACTGCGTGTGAAGGTTCTTACAGTGAACATAAAGAGTTGTATGTAATCATAAATTGAGCATAAAGATATTTTACATTTAGAAGAACCTTTAGGAAGATAAGATAAAAAAGACACAATTTGTCACTGTATAACTCAAACCAAACTTCTTTTGGTTTTGTGTTTTCCAATGTTTTCCATTGATGTATGGTTTGTTAGGATCAGACAATATTTGAAAATCTGGAATCTGAGGGTGCAAAAAAATCTAAATATTGAGAAAATCATCTTTAAAGTTGTTCAAATGAAGTTCTTAGCAATGCATATTACTAATCAAACATTAAGTTTTGATATATTTACGGTAGGACGTTTACTAAATATCTTCATGGAACATGATCTTTACTTAATATCCTAATGATTTTTGGTATAAAAGAAAAATGTATAATTTTGACTCATACAATGTATTGTTGGCTATTGCTACAAATATGTCTGTGCTACTTATGACTGCTTTTATGCTGCAGGGTCACATATGTATAGCATGACTATAAACCAAACAGCCCAAACTGTCTACGTTATTTATAAATCTTTGTAAGTGACGTGTTCAGCATTAACGCGTTCTGCCCAGATCTGTGTGAGGATTAACACCGCATCCTAACACCGTGCAAGACACTGAACTAAATAACCATTCGCACTCTGGGATCTTTATATTGCTGACATTGGAGAGAAATCAGTCTCTTCATGTTTGGCAGACGTTGAGACACAAATGATGAGATGACAGTTTGAGTGTTTGTCATAGGGGACAGTGGTATTAAGTTGGTTTTATTTGGACTAATCTCTCGGTGCTGTAGGGAAGGATAACCCCCTTTAGATTAGCATGAGCCTTTTGCCAATGCGTCGTCCTTCTGTCTTGCCTCTTTTTTACATCTTTCCCTCCCAAATCAAAACCCGATGGCTGAAAGCATCCAGAATCCAGCTCGTGTATAAAGTGTGTTTCCTTGCTGTTAAATTGGTAAGTTTGTGTTACGGAGCAGTTGTGTTGTCCTATTCTTCTTCCGTCTGACTTGCTTATGTTTCCAATGCTGAATAATTTAGGGTTTACCTGCCAATCACACCTCAATTAATGCAAAAAAAAAAAATGTTGGCTAGAGATCAGGTGAAATGTTACCTCCCTCGCACACCTTCGCAGGGAAACATGAGAAGTGAAATCAAACACCTGCTTTTCCCTCTCCTCACAAGCGTCCTCTCTTCTTTCCTCACCCGTGCATGCATTCACTACACATCACGCTTTCATTCTGTAGTGCACGAGCATTTGCACTCAAACTCGATCTCTGTCGGCTAATGGGTTGCTTCCACTGAAACAAACCGCAATCTCTGCAGCAACTTCATGGCTGTCCGTGGCACCGTTCCTCCTCCGGATTACTACCCTTTTGATATCGCTCTATCAGCCCAGCCACCTGAAGATCTGCAGGGCTTTTATAAAGGAAACCAGCACATGCTGAGCAGATCAGGCTCGCATTATGGCTTGGCCACAGGAGGGGTCAGGAACACTTGGGATCAAGGGCAAGCTAGAGCAACTACTCCTGCTCCTTCGCCCAGGCCTCCTCCTCCTCCTCCTCCTCCTCCTCCTCCCTCGGCTCATGAGATCAGCCGCTTGTACAGGGATTCTCTATCCATCAAGATGATCCCAGACAGCCAGCGCATTCGCAGTAGAGCCGCTTCACCGGCTTGCTTTGGCATTGAATCCAGATTTCCAGCAGAACACTCCGTGTACAGCGACGCCAACGGCCTTCCTCTGGACTCTGGATCCACCTGCATAGTAGTGGACCCTACAGCTCCAGTCATGGATGGGACTCTTCCTCGAGGGAACCCTGCTTACGGCTCTGTGTCAACTCAAAGGATGCCTTACGACCCTGCTTACGATCCAGGCTCTGCTCACCACCCTCCGGCGGCCGTCTCTGTCGACCCCAAGAGAACCGTGGATCCCAGTTTTCTAGCTCTCCTGCGCTCTGAGGGTCTGTCGGAAAGCACTATAACTCTTCTCCTACAGCAAGGGTTTGATTCTACCTCCATGCTTGCTATGATGGAAGACCACGACGTCCGCTCCGTCGCTCCCAATTTGGGCCAAGCACGAATGCTTTCTCGAGTGGTTTTCAATTGCAAGACGGGAGCAACCGGTGCTGCGGTTATGCGAGGTCGTTCTAACAGCTTCAGCCATCGCAATGATCTCTACATTCAGTCTCAGGCAGTGGATGGAAACCTCATTCAACAGCCTCCCAGCACCCTGCAGTCCGTCTCTCCTAGAATGGGAGAGTTTCTTGGTCGGCGGCCGAACAGCGCTCCGTCTCAGCATCTCCTCGAAACCACGACATATCCAGGGGTTCGCTCGGTCGGAGGTCTTCCGGTCAGTCCGGGGGGCTATGCCACACAAACACGACCTTTGTACAATGCCCACACCGGCCTGGCCATGTCTGCTCAACAACAACCTCCGACTACTCCAGGAGTGGCACCCAAGACCTTCTCCACTACATACAGCCCTATGGAGCTGATGAAGCGCCCTCCGAACCTTCCTCCTCTCTCTCCTTCTCATAGCCCCCATCACAGCCCTCAGTTAATGCGCAAGGGAGCAGCTCCTGTGGAGAGTGCCATCCTTCCAGCATCTTCAGCCCTCCAGCCTCAGACCCTAAATCCTAACAACAAACAAACCCGGAGAACCGGACCTCCGGTCATTGTATCCACCATGGCTTCACCTGACACAAGTAACGACCTTATTTCTGTCTTTTTTGGCGGTTTTACCTTTACCTACATTGTAAAAAAAAAATCCATAAAATTTACGGTAAAAAAAAAATGGCAGCTGTAGTTGCCAGAATCTTAGCGTAAAAAATACAGTAGCAACATTTTAGGTTTTAACTTAAATTTACATTTAAATACCGTAATTTCATTAACTGATATACTGTTAAATATACCAACCTATTGAAGTACTGAAATCTGTTTTGTAACTTTGTAATACACTGATAACCACCAAAATCAGCAGGAGGTGATGAGGATGTCACACGATGAACCAAAGCCAATCACAAGCAGCATAATAAATATACACAGTACACACACATATATTATATATATATATATATTTGTTTTGTGATCCCAGCTGAACTTCACGAATCACTTGAATAGACTCCGCTTCATAACTATTTAAGAAACTCTTTGCAGCAGCTTAAGGAAAAAAGAAGGTTTTTTACTGACCTTGAACTTGAGTGCATTGCTGTGTGTGCATGAATGTGTTTTCAGACCTGCATTTGTGTGTTTTACAATTTTAAAAAGAACAGTGTCACTGCCATGAGTTCAGAGTAAGATTGAAGATTGATTATAATTCTTTACAAGCAATTTTAACCCATGCCTCTTCCTTTTGGGGTCCATGATTATGCATTACATTTAATCTTCAAGAACCGCAGTGTTTTCTCTCTCTGTTCAGTTAACAGTGTGTGTGAGCTTTACAGTTCGAGCTGAGCACTGTACCTCACTGCAGGCCTAATCAGAGTCTTAGAGCCTAAAATCTCATTAGGGTTAATAGGATATGCAGAGACACGGTCCTCTGGGAACGCGTTAGAGTCTCTCGACTGGAGACACACACTGAGAGTCTCTAGAAAACTCACTTGACATTTTAGGTTTTTGGCAAGATTTTACAAGTGAATTGTGGAGACTGTTCAGGCTACAGTTCACCAAACCGCCGGTGATCCATGAAGGTTCTTTGAGGTTCTTCTGTGTGCTAAATGCACATGAGGAGTTTGTCAGGCTGAAGGTTGTTGGTGTTCAGGAGGCTGGTGGCAGATCTGTATATGAGCTCTGTTACAGCTGACACGTGACTGACTTCAACATCGAAATATGGTTGAAATAATGTTAGCTGTTTCAATGTTGAAAAAACATCGCAACAATGTTAAATGCTAGGCTAACAAAATGCTCACAAATCAACTCAAAGACATTGTAAAAGACAACATTGCAATGGCAATGTTGATTCAGCTCGCAGGATTACATTATAATTCAGTGAGTTTCATCAGAGGAATAATACTTCACTATGAATGCGTTCTTTGTTTCTTACTTCATTCCTCCTGCCATTTTTCTTTTTCTAACTTGCTTTTCTTTCTTTCTTTCTTTCCAGTATGTGTCATTAGTCACTCCATTTTAATCACATTGTAATCACACAGATAATGTGTGTAAATGAGGACAGCTATACATTTGTGTGTATTTTATTTAGAAAGACACATCATCATCCTAATGAATGCATGTGTACGAACACATTTTACAAACTGAAGAAGTGTGTATTTATTTGTGTTTGTGTGTGTGTTTGTGTGTGTGTGTGTGTGAGTGTGTGTGATTTTGTGTGTGTGTGCGTGCGTTTGTTTGTTTGTGTGTGTGTGTGTGTGTGAGTGTGTGTGTGTGAATAGACTCCGCTTCATAACTATTTAAGAAACTCTTTGCAGCAGCTTAAGGAAAAAAGAAGGTTTTTTACTGACCTTGAACTTGAGTGCATTGCTGTGTGTGCATGAATGTGTTTTCAGACCTGCATTTGTGTGTTTTACAATTTTAAAAAGAACAGTGTCACTGCCATGAGTTCAGAGTAAGATTGAAGATTGATTATAATTCTTTACAAGCAATTTTAACCCATGCCTCTTCCTTTTGGGGCCCATGATTATGCATTACATTTAATCTTCAAGAACCGCAGTGTTTTCTCTCTCTGTTCAGTTAACAGTGTGTGTGAGCTTTACAGTTCGAGCTGAGCACTGTACCTCACTGCAGGCCTAATCAGAGTCTTAGAGCCTAAAATCTCATTAGGGTTAATAGGATATGCAGAGACACGGTCCTCTGGGAACGCGTTAGAGTCTCTCGACTGGAGACACACACTGAGAGTCTCTAGAAAACTCACTTGACATTTTAGGTTTTTGGCAAGATTTTACAAGTGAATTGTGGAGACTGTTCAGGCTATAGTTCACCAAACCGCCGGTGATCCATGAAGGTTCTTTGAGGTTCTTCTGTGTGCTAAATGCACATGAGGAGTTTGTCAGGCTGAAGGTTGTTGGTGTTCAGGAGGCTGGTGGCAGATCTGTATATGAGCTCTGTTACAGCTGACACGTGACTGACTTCAACATCGAAATATGGTTGAAATAATGTTAGCTGTTTCAATGTTGAAAAAACATCGCAACAATGTTAAATGCTAGGCTAACAAAATGCTCACAAATCAACTCAAAGACATTGTAAAAGACAACATTGCAATGGCAATGTTGATTCAGCTCGCAGGATTACATTAAAATTCAGTGAGTTTCATCAGAGGAATAATACTTCACTATGAATGCGTTCTTTGTTTCTTACTTCATTCCTCCTGCCATTTTTCTTTTTCTAACTTGCTTTTCTTTCTTTCTTTCTTTCCAGTATGTGTCATTAGTCGCTCCATTTTAATCACATTGTAATCACACAGATAATGTGTGTAAATGAGGACAGCTATACATTTGTGTGTATTTTATTTAGAAAGACACATCATCATCCTAATGAATGCATGTGTACGAACACATTTTACAAACTGAAGAAGTGTGTATTTATTTGTGTTTGTGTGTGTGTTTGTGTGTGTGTGTGTGTGAGTGTGTGTGATTTTGTGTGTGTGTGTGCGTGCGTTTGTTTGTGTGTGTGTGTGTGTGTGTGTGTTGAGAGGGCGGTGCTCTGCTGTGGCTGCTGGTAGTCTTACTCTTAAACTCTCTCGGTTGGTTGGTTTCATAAGTAGTTTATTAAAGGTGCTGTTAAACAGAGCAGCATCCGCCGCTCACCGGCAAACACACACCGAGCAGTTTGACCGCCGGATTGAGCGCTCCGCATGGTCAGTGACACATGTGCGTTTGTGTGTTTGTGTGTGTGTGAGAGAGAGAGAGAGAGAGAGAGAGACACGTGACGTGCTGGAGAATCCTCTGAACCTGCTTACCCCCA